CTCACTTGGAATGAATAAATCTCTACTTTATGAAGGTCATGCTAGCTCTAGTTACAGCCGGAGCCTCTGCAGCTGCAGCTATTGTATACTTAGCACACAAGGGAAACGGCAATGCCAACTGGGCTGCAATTTGCCAGCAATTCAATTCCTTCTGTGAACGCATCTCCGGTTCTCTCATCGGCTCATTTGGCTCGACTGTTCTGTTCATTCTCATAATCACCACAGCTGCCATTGCCATCTCTCGTCGCTGATGCACCATTTATCCAAGCGGAGTGTAAGTATGTGTAATATGTTGTTTGTTCTAAATGTTTCTTTCTACATGGAAGTATGCTTTGAGACTGAGAATTAATATTAGTTCTGTTCTTCTACATGTCTATAGCATATAAAAAGACTAATACAAGAGGAACACTGTATTATTAGTTGTCCTTGAGGAACAGCATCACTTAGGTTGAGGCAGTTAAAAGTTTCAGATTTAAATCCCTCATTTTAGTACCACATTTATGCATGTGAATTGTTCTAATTCATACCATCAATATATTGATCAATACATTAATTAGTAAGCATCATAGCATCCACCTTGCATTAACTGTATTAAGTATTAACAAGCAATACTGCAAAAGAATTAGCAGAGTGACAAAAACATTCAAGATCATCATTTTGTACAATATTGATTGAAGATCTCATCAATTTCAAGCTGGTCATGAAGCACTCCCAAAAAGGCTCTTAAATTTAATCGACATGAGGCAATCTGCCATTTTTTTTACCCCAATAGTGCCACAAGATCATCTAGAGATTTCAGTGTCTTCTCGTAGTAGAGGTATGATTCATATATCTTGGGGGTGCGCACATAACTATCAAACTGCACAAAAATGAAATATGTCAAGCTTTAATTGAATTTAAATGATTCATGCCAAGTGCCAACCAATGTTTTTAAACAGCAAAGAAGTAATTAGCTAGTGCTTAACTGCTTTAGGAGTTCGAATCTGTGACTTTAATCTAAGAATAAGGTCTAAAATTAATGGATACTAACTGGATTAAGCCCTTACTCAACATACCTCAGCCATGTTGTCTACCAACTCATTAGCCGTTTTGACATATTCTTGGACACGGCCTTGGGGCAATGTGCTCATGGCATTCTTCAAGTCCTGAGAAAGATATGCCGACTTTAGTCTAATGTAGAACAGGACATACCTCCATGACATGTTGTCCAACATGTCCCGCATGCTGTGCAACCCCTCGGCAGTCTGTCTGATCCTTGCTACAGCATCCTCCGGCGACAAACCGGGCTCGAAGAAACGCTCCCATATAAAAGAACGCGTGCCCCAATTCTCTGCTAGTGCTGGAGGGGTGCTCTGCAGGCCCAGGACAGCTAGTGATGTGTTTAGAAATGTTGTCACCACAGTCCGCCTGGTATTGGTGGTGGCAGCGGCGGCATTGTCTCGGGATGGAAAAGTTGCACAGACTATATGGGGAGAGATTTTGCGGGGGTGATTGTGGGGTGAGGTGATGGTGTTGGCATGGAGGAAGGCGGTGGTATTGGTGAGGGTGGTCATGGTTTTTGGACCAAAAGGATGAAGAGATTTGGAATTCAGTGTTCAACGGAAGAGTTTGGGCAAGTTGTGGTGCTGACCGTGTTGCCCATTGTTCAAACGAGGACCTTAGCTTTTTGGGATGTGGCACGTTATCTTGATGGGGGCGTGATGATGTGGCTGTTGGCTTGGGCCCAAGGGAGATCCCAAGGGGAGGACGGCTGAGGAATGGAGGGTCAGACCGGAAAAAGGGGCTTATCGGACTTCAAACATGAAACCTGAAACAGACGCAGAGACCACTTATTCTTTTTGGGATGTTGACAAAATGGAAATTCCTAGGCGGTGGGTCTGGGCCATTGTGGCGTGGCCGCATGGGCTGGGTTGGGCTATAAGTAATATAAGGAATGAGGAATATTATATGTTTACTTATTACTTTCAAAAAAAATAAAAGATAAATTTTTTTTATAATAGAATCATAATTAAACATAAAAGGATAATTATATAGTTAAATTAGAAAAAAAATAATTAATTTGAAAAAATTCAAAATAAAAAATGACATTATTTTAAAACAACAATATATATTATTTATTTAATATTATATTATATTATGTAATATAGAGTATAAGTGGAATTGTACTTATAACATTGCCCCTTACTTTTTATTTTTATTATTTTAGTTGTCTGATAGAAGACAAATCATCTTCCATCCTTTAACTTTTTATTTGAATGTAATGAAATTCAAACTTAAATTCTTTTTTTTTTAATTATTATTGAGTTATTCATATGATTCACACATTGCCCTTTATTAAGAATTAAAATATTATTAAATCTCAAAATTTGCTTTGGTTCTAAAAAAGGAATTCAAATACTAATAAATAATAACTTAAGTGATTCCTTAATAATTTTCATAAAAATAAGAGATTTTATGTACAATAGTGATTAATATCACACAAACATAATTTGTGGAATTTTTACTTTAACTTAACTATTAAGTACAATTAATAATTAATAAAATAATTTATATTTATTATTTAATATATTAAAATTAATTTATAAATAAATATTTTTAAATACATAATTAATTGTATAAAAAATTATAAATTAATAAAAAAATAAAATTATTTGACCATAATAATGGGCGTGTCACTATAAGTTTGTCCCTTAGGTGCATATAAAAGATATGTAGTAAATAAGGTGGTTAAAAAAATGACTAAGAGATAAGTTCATTGAACCGCTATATTTAAATCGCTGTGATACACTCTCTCTCTCATCGTCGTACTTCGTTGATTAAAACCAGTTGGCTGGGTCAATAAAGGCAACTCAGCCAACCCCTCCGTCTCCGCCTCGCATACTACAGTACAGAATACAGCCCCCAATCAACGGCCAAAGTTCATGAAATATTCTTCAACAAGCCACGTGGAAGATTTGCTCCTAATCTCCAGGACCATTGGTTAACACGTGACAATTAAAGGAAATAAATTATGGGTTATCATCTACTATAGTCTATTTTATTTACACATTTTTACATGATGTGATTACAATAAATATTTATTAATAATGATAAATTTTTAAAAATTATTAATATTATATTTAAAATATATTAACAAATAAATTGAATTATTTTTCTTAAAAATATAATAAAAAATTAGTATATAATTTAATATATAT